TATTGTCACCAAGTCTTGTCATGCTAATAAATGTACACAACACTTATAGTTATGTACATTGTTCCTCCTAGCCAGATATCACTACATCACAATATAGCTGTAAATATCTTACCTACATGAAATTCTCACACCACATGATTTGTACACACACTAATTACTAACATTTAGAGGGAATATCTGTTCTATTAATACGTACAGGGGGACCACACCACACACGAGACAAACCTACCGTCATGACACAATATATACAGACACCACAAACAACAAACGTATCAGATCAAGTGAATGGATCAGTTTACAATAACATGTATAGTAAAAAAAATCTGTTTGTTGACATTCTGTAATTTATTCTATCATGTTTGATCAAGTGAATGGATCCGCCGTCAGTTATATTTACAATAACATGTATAGTAAAACAAATCTGTTTGTTGACATTGTGTAGTTTATCCTATTATTGTTTATGACATAATACTATAGAATACTGTTTATTATATGACTTGGTCTTTAATATCGTTCTACATCAGTTATATTAACAGTAACCTGTACAGTAAATATCTTGTCATCATCAATAAAACCATTGTTTATATCTTGTAGTTTATCCCAGTCTATACATATACCAGTATATATATAATCATCAGGTATAAATGTATATATACCAGTATATGTACAATCACCAGGTTTACGTGTACATGTACCTTGTCCAACTAGTGATTTACTCTCATCATTGATATTTAACAGTTTTAATGTATAACTACCTGTAACAGTTTTAATAGTTTTATCTTCTACTGCCTTCAATACCAGGTAAATATATAAACTTGATGTACCACGTCTAACAAATACACACCATGGTAATCCTTGTATTATTACATCATCATCACTAGAGTAGTGCTCATCTATCTTCACTATCTGGTTCAAACTAAAACCACCAGTAAATGTTGTTGGTGTTATGGCATGTACTTCACCCAGTAGTCGTTTTAAACAGTCTACATCAACCTCAACCATAGAATAACATGGATGTCTGACTACAGGTTTCTGTAAATTTGTTGATATGTTGTAATCAGTTTTGGTTTGAACATCTGTTAATCCATGTTTATCTACGGCTGTAATTATAGATCTATGTTGTAATATACGATCAGCATATTCACACCATTCTTTCATTTTAGATGTCATCTTGTCATCATCTTCTACTAGTTTGGTTAGTTTACTGTTTTCATCTTCACGAATTTTATTGATGTCATTTTTAATTGTTCCTCCCATCTTCCTGGCTTTTTCACAAATATCGTCTATTTGTTTCTGAACTTGATCACAAGCTGTCTTACATGAGTTGTTCGTGTCAGCTATTTTGGTCTTCAGAAAGTCAGAATGTTTCTGTAACTGTTTTATCTTCTTTTCTGATTCAGTTTTAAGTTTCATGACAATTTCTCTCATTTCCTGGTCTACGTCATCTAAATCAGCTTTCGTATGATTTTCATGATCCACCATAACACACACAGAACAACATGGTTTACGACAATCTCGACAATAAACTTCTATTTCTTTCTTCTTGTGTTTTGTACAATACTGTTTATCATCATCATCGTCTTCTAGATAAAAGTTGTTGACAAACTGACTGGCACCACCTGATGGTACCGCTGTTTCTTGTCTACAAATAGGACAGTTAAACTTGTTGAAGCTACCGTGAGCCTTGATGTAGTCATCTATACATTGTTGACAAAACGTATGAGAACATGGCAGTAATTTGGGTTTGGTAAAGTTATTTAAACAAATAGAACAGGTATACTTAGACGCCATCTTAAAATCCCAGGAAATCAGTATAATAAATAATTACCATTATAATAAATCAATTGTAGAAAACATCCGTTGATTAACCAAAGATCCAGTTAAAATATAATATACATATATTCTGGTAGGTGTGTCAACTGTATGTTATAATTTCCAAGGTTCATGTGATTAGATCATATATCAATTGATTGTTTGCTTATCACCATGTATTGGGTTTGTTGACTTACATCGTATGTAATCTATATACGTGATTGTATACTTTATTGTCATGTGACAATATTTGAATAATAAAATAAGATATCAGTTAAATAATATGACAGATCATGTTTACTAATTCTAACCACCAATTATTTAGTCTGTTCACTCACAACATATTTATATATAAAAATAAAACCCAATCATAAACAAAAAATAAAAATTGAAAGGCCCCAACCCTTCAAAACAGAAAACAGGCAATTCTCCCAGGAAACATAAGATGTCTATGATACCACTGTAGTATGGAAGCGGATGTTTCCCAGAAAACATAACCTGTCTATGATACCACCACAGTATGGAAGCGGATTTATCCCAGGAAACATAATATGTCTATGATACCACCGTAGTATGGAAGCGGATGTTTCCCAGGAAACATAACATGTCTGTGATACCACCATAGTATGGGAGCTGATGTTGAGTTCCACAAGAAGGGCACAATAAATAGCAACTTTCTTAGGGATTGGGGGTGTGGGGGGACAGAAAAATCTAATTTTATTTAAATTAGAATGATGAATAATGACTAATTTTTAAATCTCAGCCATCCAAGTTGATTATAGGCTTGTCGTGTGAATAAATGTATGAATAATAATTTATATAACATTTGAAGCTAAAATAAAAACCTGTAATAGACAGATTTAGCTCTTAAATAATCTATTTTTAATAAATATGTTTTGGTGTTTTAATTTCAGAGATCCCCATTTGAAGATACCTCCCATTCACCCATCCAATCTTTCCGTGTTTGAAGATGTGGAGGAGATATCGGGCAACTTAATTAGCCAATCAAATCACACAGAATTCCGGAATCTCTCATATTTTAAGAGTCTGAAATATATTTCTGGTCGGGAACCGAATGGGTGAGTAAAGTATTGAATATATTTTCATATAATAATGTGGATTCATTGAGGTTAACTGATCCCATTTCATACAAGGGGTTAACTGATCCCATTTCATATAATTGACAGAAATAATAAAAGGTTGTATACGTTGGCATGCATGTAAAGAACCCTTGACAGATTTCGAAATAAGAGTAGGTTGTAGCGCCGTTGTCCGAGCAAGATTTCCCTCAAAGCACACACTGCATAGTGCACGCCTGTCTTCATTAGCCGAGTTGGAGCAAAACATTAAACCCCATTTCATTTCTTTTTTTCAAACAGTGCCCTAGCTCTTAATATTATGATGACACATTTGGAATCGTTGGAATTGGTGAAGTTGAAGGCGATACGTCAAGATGGCATCCTGATAGCGGGCTTCCATTGCAAAGTGTCATTCCTCCACTGTTTTCCATGAGAAAGTGACTGTCTTCATTTAGAAAGTGACTGTTTTCATTTAGAAAGTGACTGTTTCATTTAGAAAGTGACTGTTTTCATTTAGAAAGTGACTGTTTGCCATGAGAAAGTGACTGTTTGCCATGAGAAATGATCGTTTCCATAGGAAAAGGTGACTTTTTTCCTTGAGAAAGTGACTGTTTTCCATGAGAATGTGACTGTTTTCCATGAGAATGTGACTGTTTTCAATATATAGCAAGCAGTGCCGGACTGGGTCCACCTGTCCACCTGTCCGTGACAGGTGGGCCTAAGCTCATAAAAAAAAGTGGGCCTAAGCCTATAAAGAAAAAAGAGAAAGGAAAAAATAAGAAAAGAGAAAGAAAAGAGAGGGGGAGGAAAGAAGGAAGGAAGGAGAAGACAGGACACTCTCCCTCCTTCTTTCCTTATGATAGTGCTCTTAGGTCATTCTGTTATCTAATTGTATCAGAAAATTAAACATTTGCCTTCTTCTGCTTTGGTCTGAAATGCTTGGAAAACGTGTTTGCGGTTGTCAATTTTCTAAATTTTCCTTGGGGGAGACCCCCCCCCCCAGACGCTCGTGACGCCTTTGGCGCGTACTTGTGTGTGCCTTGGTCAATGACCTGACAGGCGTCCTGCACTGATAGCAAGTGACTTTTCAATAGCAGTGTTACTGGTTTTTTTTATAGCCAAGTGAAAGTCTTCCATTGCAGAGAGTGGCTGTCTTCCATTGACAAAGTGACTGTTGTCCATAACAAAGTGACAGCCTTTCATTAACAAAGTGACTTTTGTTCAAAGCAAAATGACTGTTGTCCATTGACAGAGTGACTGTTGTCCATAACAAAATGGTATCATATATTCGAGAGAGATTGATGTTGTATATTTCAGGAACCGAATCAATGAGACAGTTGTAAGAATGTTACCATTCTAGATAACAACAATGTCGCCATCTGTCTAGCAGAGTGTCCAAGTATCATGTACCCAGATGAAAATAATATCTGTAGAAAATGTCATAAAAACTGTGCTGATGGGTGAGTAGCCATCTTCTTTGTAAGCGTAAAATACAGAGCCTTAAAGCATCTTAAAGTTTATAACGTCAATGATGGTGTTATATAGACTGTAGCTAATCCTTTAAGCCATGGGGGGATTTGCAGTAGCTCAGTGGGTAAGACATTATCTCGCTAACCTGGAGATCGCAGGTTCAATCCCTGTGTTGGCCGAGAAAGTTCATCTGGATTTTACAGCGTGGGTTTCCCCTTGTCTGTGGTGCACGACGGAGGGTCTGACATAGATAGCTGTCTAGTCGTCGGATGGGACGAAAAACCAAGGTCCTGTGTAAGCATTAGGCAAAATTTTCCTCATAGCACACTGTATGGCGTATGCCCGTCTTTATTAGCCCAGTCGGAGCAGAACAGTAGGACGTTAAACCCCATTTCATTTGCTGGTCTACATTAACTGAAACCAGGGGCCGTATTTATAAAAATTCTTAGAGTTTTCATAACTTTTACTCTAAGACTTCCTAAAACAACATTTAGTTAAAAGTTACTCTTTAGAAATATTTATAAAGGGTCTTAAAGTTACTTTTAACTAAATGTAAGACTTGGGTCCTAACCAAACTCTTAGCGATGTAACCATGGGATATCCGGGGATTCCCTGAAGTTATTTATAGCTCAGTGTTGATGTCATGCAATCACTCTACTCACTGTAGGTTGACTGACGCCGAAATCGTCACCACTACACAGTTGCATTTTACCAGTAGCTAGGAAACGAAGCGTAATGGCGATCTTCATCTCAGCGTCGATTGAGAAATTTCGTTTCGTAGGACTCGTAAGTAGATGCCGAACTAAATCTGTCACAAAAAGAATCCCACCCATGTCGATATCTCCTTATCAACTCGTCATTGTTGTACTCCACTAAGAAATCTCTTCTTGTTTTAAACTCTCTTAGGCGGCATACACGGACGGCCATGTTAACCAAGATAAGAGTACTTTTAACAAGTTAGGAGTGCTACAGGAGGACTCCTAAATATGTGTCATAGTTAGGAGTAATTCTTAAAGTAAAATGTTTTATAAATAGGTCTTAGGAAAATCTACAAAGTTAGGAGTAATTTTTGACGGTTAAGAGTTGGTTCCAACTCTTAGAATTTTTATAAATACCGCCCCAGTTCCCTGATTATATTTATGTTACATTTCGGTTAATCCAGGTGTTAAAGGCTTCATTCGGGTTCACACTTATATTTATACGTTACTTAAATCTATGTGTTTCAGATGTACAGGAAATTCTGATATTGTGGGTCCAGGGGGATGTAACTCTTGTGAAGTCGGTTTTCGAAAGTCTCATTTTACAGAAACTATAAGATGTTTACCAACCGATACTAATTCCTGCCCCGACAGTCATCATCTAACTCCCGTTAAAATAGACAATAATAATCTACTAGGTGGAAAAAGGGTAAGATTGTGTTTCTGTCATTTAGGGATTGTGGTGTTAGAGGTATAATGTCCTAGGTTTTGGTCATTTAGGGACTGTGGTGTTAAAGGGATAATGTCCTAGGTTTTGGGAGCTCAGTGTGTGTAAGGTGTTGACTCGCTACATTGCAAGTTCCGTTTTCGATCCCTGTGTTGACCAAGAAAAATTATCAGGATTTTCTGGTCAGGGTCCCCAAAGTCATGCAGGATGCTGCAATCCATAGTTGTTTGGATGGGAGTAAAAACCGATGTTCCATGTACATATCGGCGTGCAGGTAAATTAGCATGCTCTAAGGTGTATACTTGTTTTCATTAGCCCAGTCGGTGCAGAACAGTAGGACATTAAACACTATTTTATCTGTCGAAAATAACATATATTGCAAATTGTTTTTTATTTAAAAAAGATTATATATATTCCAAATTGTTTTTTATTTGCATAAATACTATATTTCAAATTATTAATTCTATTTTAGATGTGTGAACCTTGTCATCGACTGTGTCAGACATGTTACGGGGCCAGTAATATGAATTGTAATAAATGTAAATTTTTCAAGGCCGATTCGTGTGTAGAATTCTGTCCAACTATGACATTCGGTAATAAAGCGACACAGAAGTGTGAACCATGTTTTGACGAGTGTCGAAGTGGATGTCGAGGATCAGAAAGTACAGATTGCTTGGCATGTAAAAACTTCAAAATCTACATCGGTGAGGATGATAAGAGGGTAAGTGCTTGAATTTATCTTGTAGATGGTGGTAGAATTTATCTGGAAGGGTGCAGGTTGGGAAGATGGCGATGATATGATGGTGGGGGGGTAGATATTAGATTTTATTTGGGCGTGTGACGGTAGGGAAGATGGCGATAACCAAGATGTTAGTGGTAGAATTTATCTGGGAGGGTGCAGGTTGGGAAGATGGCGATGATACATTGGGGGTAAATGGTAGATTTTATTTGGGCGTGTGACGGTAGGGAAGATGGCGATAATCAAGATGTTAGTGGTAGAATTTATTTGTAGGAGTAGGGAAGTTGGCAATGATACAATGATAGTAAGTTGTAGAACTTATACGGTACTATTCAACGTTTTGAAAGGGGTGAGAGTAGGGAAGTTGGCAGTGAGGGTAAGTGGTATTATTCAATGTTTTGAAAGGGTGAGGATAGGAAAGTTGGTAATGAGGGTAAGTGGTACTATTCAATGTTTTGAAAGGGTGAGGATAGGGAAGTTGTTAGTGAGGGTAAGTGGTACTATTCAATGTTTTGAAAGGGTGAGGATAGGGAAGTTGGTAATGAGGGAAAGTGGTACTATTCAACGTTTTGAAAGGGTGAGGGTAGGGAATGATAAAATGGGCAGTTGTTAAGCAAGTGGGAGGCCTCTGTCTGGGATATATGTACCCGATTTCATTCATCCTGGCCGTTTGAATTTAGTAAATATATTTTATAAATTTGTAGTTTAACTGCACGGATGAATGTCCACAACATCTACCATATTCAGTGTTGGATAACAACACAAATAGTGAAACAGCATCTAGAACAGTTTGTGCTGATAATACCCATCCAGAAGTCATCGCTTTATTATCACGTAACACTGAGTAAGTACTGTATATGTATTTAGTGTTTGTGTCTTCCATATATCGAGGAGGGGTGGATGGCTGAATGGTTAGTGCGTGCTTGTTGTATCATAAGGTCTGGCATTGAGTCAACTGTTGTGGTTTCCATTCCCCGGTTGTACGTGACAAGGAGTAGGGTCGCCTGTCCAACCTCATATATTTTCTCTGGGTCTTTCTGTTTCCTCCCACTGTTAAAGACCCCCTACTTGGAAAGGAATTATTGAAATTAAATTGAACCATATGTTAGTCCCGAAGTGACCTAGTTTGTGTTAGCTCCATTTCTCTCTTTCTCCAATATTGATAGAACTGCTCAATCTGACATTTCTATTACAAGATGTTATTTTTCATTTTCATATTTGAACATTTCTAATAGGAATACTAAGCACAGTGGGTAAGACGCTGGAGGTCGCGGTTTCGCTCCTGGTGTTGGCTGAGAAAGTTCATTGAGATTTTCCGACATGGTTTCCCCTTGTCCATGGTTCAGGGCGGAGGGTCTGATAAGGATAGCTGTATAGTTGTTCAGATGGGACAAAAAACTGAGGCTCTGTGTACACATTGGCATTCATGTAAAAGTTCCCTTGGCATTTTGAATGCGATACAAGAGTAAGCCATAACACCGCTGTTTGGGCCAAGTGTCTCTTATAGCATACTGTATGGCGTATGCCTGTCTTCATTAGCCCAGTCAGAGCAGAACAGTTGTCCTCAAAAATAGAATATATACTGAGCGCCATGGAAAACGCATCTCTTAGTTTTTCGTATAACAAAATGATCCTGTAAACAGATCTTATTTATTTTGCTTATTATTGTCAACAATATTCAAATGGGAACACATCAATAACAACACATTTGTACACTTATGGATGTTTAATCTGTAATCAACGGTACAAAGTCAGAGGGGTCAAAACCAAAAGTACGACACAGATGTCAGTAGCGCGTGTGTCCTCCATGGGCTCTTATGCACGCTGTGCAGCAACGGCGCATGGAATTAACCAATGTTTGAAAGAAGGCCTGGGGCAAATTGTTCCATTCTTGGACAAGAGCAGCTTCTAAAGCAGCAATGGTGTGCATCTGTGGCGTCCAATCTCATCCCAGACATGTTCTATCGGTGCCATGTCCGTAGACATGGCTGGCCAGTCCAAGACATTGATGTTGTTAGCAGCCAGGTAGTCCATACTAAAACGGGCGGTATGCGGACGCGCTTTATCCTTTTGGAAGTGCTGAAGTTGTGGGTGCGCTCGAAACATCGGACCAACAATTGAATGCAAGACATCATCACGGTAGGCTACAGCATTAACGCGACCCCTGCAAATGTGTAGGGTGGTCCGTGCGATGAAATGTGAAGCCTCCCAAAACATTACACTTCCCCCACCCCATCGATTGGTTTTGAAGACGCAGCAGTCTGCAAGACGTTCCCCAAGACGTCTCCACACACGTTGACGGCCATCAGCGTGAGAAAAGATGAAAGCGACTCTCATCACTGAAGAGCACACTTTGCCAGTCTACTCTTCTCCATGTCTGGTGTCTTTGAGCCCATATCAAACGCCGCTGAAGGTTATGATCCCTGAGGATAGTTCCAGCATAAGGTCGTCGTGCACGGGGTCCTCCTTCTCTTAGACGACGTCTTATGGTGTTGGCACTTACTGGTACGTGTCTTCCGACGACTGCTGCACCTGTTCGAGTCGCTGGGTGGAATCTGTCACGCAGATGAGTGACCCGGATGTAGCGGTCTTGAGCCTGGGTTGTAACGCATTGTGGACCAGGACGTTGACGGTCACGTGTTGATCCAGAAACTCGAACATGTTCCACCAACCTTACAATAGTGGACTGATGACAATTGAAGTGTCTGGCAATAGCATGTGTAGACATGCCAGCCCTGGACATTCCCATGGCTTCATTCCGTTGATTTTCAGTAAGTCTCGGCATCTCTAGTGCGTTTGGGAGCATTGTGTGAAACAATAGTTCATAGTATTGCAGAATATTATACATACAGAACCACCTAGTAATAAAACATTTGGGAAAAAAAAGTGATGCGTTTTCCATGGCGCTCAGTATATTATATTATCTACAAAGATAATGTAGTTATAGGTCTGTTATAAATCCAATTGAATCCAAGCTGTGATATTATCTAGCTTCGGTATTTTCATTACTTAATATTAAAGGAGCTAAATTGCTAATATTTGGGACGTAGAAATTGACACAAATGAGATGCAACGCATATAATAATGTAATTTGAATGTATATAAATCTTTTTACATTCAATCGTTTCCGTTTTCAGTATAATTTCTAATCAGTTATGTTCGGCAAAATACGACAGAAGTCTCAATCGAATAGCAATCTCTAGTGTCTGGTTATTCCAGACTAGGCCTACACCGTAGTATTTATTGCACATGCTCTCCAGATAAGAATATGGCGTAACCGTTTGACATGACTTGTCGAAAATGTCTAGCCTTTGTTCTTCGAATCCCTTGTTACAAAATGTCACTGAAATGCATTATGGTACACGATGTGTTTTCCAATGGTAAAATGTTTATTTCGTCTTAAATATTGGATATCAGAAGCCCATCTTTTCCCGGTAAGATCACATCATCGATGTTGATTTAAATTGACAAATAATTTGTGTTTTCAATGTCGAATACTTTGGATGATATTGAGTTTAAGACTTAGCTACTTTAATGTTAAATAACCATATTATGTTAAGTACATATTGGTGTGGGACTAAGCTGTAAGAAATTTGATATTTTAATCACATATATATGTTAAGTACATATTGGTAAGGGGTTATTTAAGAAATTTGATACTTTAGTGAGAAATACCAAGTTATCAATCTAGTTATTAGGTAATGTGTCTTTATAAAAAAAACATAGAAAATACTCAATTTGCATCCCCACCGACGATTTAAATTTTTGATGGTCTATTGTTTTAGTTGATTGTATTTTTTATTTTCTCTCTCAATAAAATAAATTGATATATTTTTTTTTAATGTAGAGATGAAAAGAAGAAAATGGCTATAATTGTTGCTCCATCTGTAGCCGGTGTACTGATTGTAGCTGTTTTGATCGCTTGTATAGCTTGGGACTGTCAAAAACGAGCTAAAGCCAAGGAAAAAAACGGCAAAACTTACGGCCAAGATGACTGGCTGGGATGAGGAAGTGGTGAGTATTTATTTGATGATGTACACCAATTGGCACGCACCTAAAAGAACCCTTGACAGTCGGAGTTCGAAATAAGAGTAGACCGTTATCCAGGAGGACTTTCCCTCATAGCACACTGCACACATGTCCATCTTCATTATCCCAGGGCAGAAGAAAAGGACATTAAACTCCGTATCATTTCATTTATTTGATCATACTTAAAACATATGAATAACTGGATTATGTTAATGTTTTTTATACAGCCGCATTGTGGTCGTATATTGCCGTCGCCTCCATCTGTATGAGCGTTGCTTGGCAACCTATGTTTTATATATGAATTAAATTAAAAAAAGAAAAACAGTGATCATACATCCTTGTGTTATATAACTCTTTGTAGATTTGATCAAATGTGACCATTAGAATTAACACATAGCTGAAGGGGAATAACTCCATTTAATCAAATTATCTGTTCTCTAAACATTTGTCACTGTGTTGATTTTGAGAAATGAAATGGGGTTCAACATCCTACTTTTCTGAACCAACTGGGCTGATGAAAACGGTAGATAAACAATTTACTGTAGTAGTTACTGATTTTAAAAGAATTAAATTTTTGTAATAAATTCAAGTTTGTTTAGGGCCACTTCATATTTTTCTAACGTTTTTTTATTCAGCCTCTTACACCTACGACAGCTAAACCGGACCTTGCTCAGTTAAGATTGATAAAGGAATACGATTTACGACGTGGAGGTATTATTGGCTCTGGAGCATTTGGTACTGTCTATAAAGTAAGTAATTATTCCTTTAACTGTCAGATTTTCCAGGAGGCCATTTTGCAGGTCATGACCTATAAGTAAAAATGACAAAAAATGTTAAATATTTTATACCACTGAATAAAGGAATTCAAGATCTTTCCAAAAAATATATACATTAACTGCGACAGTTGGAATTTGAAAAGGTGTAGATAAAAATTCCACTTTTTGGGCAAAATTCTACCCCTTCTATTGCATACATGACCATAAGAATTACAATTACTATATGTTAGTCTCAAAATAACCAAAAGTATTGTGTTGATGATACATTAACCATATGTTAGTCTCAAAATAATCAAAGGTAGTGTGTTGACGAGACATTAACCATATGTTCGTCTCAAAATAACCAGAGGTATATAGTGTTGATGATACATTAACCATATGTTAGTCTCAAAATAACCAAAGTATTGTGTTGATGAGACATTAACCATATGTTAGTCTCAAAATAACCAGAGGTATATAGTGTTGATGATACATTAACCATATGTTAGTCTCAAAATAACCAAAGTATTGTGATGACACGATGTCAAATTCCATTCTAGTCATGTAACAATTGCAAACATTCAACTAGAGAAAATATATTTTATAATTATTTGTTTTTCGCTGCTTTTTTTTTTCTAGGGATTTTGGATTCCAGAAGGTGAAAATGTTAAAATTCCTGTGGCTATAAAAGTTTTACAGGAAGGAACCTCACCCAATCAGAATAAAGAATTGTTGGAAGAGGCTCGTGTCATGTCGTCAGTAGAACATCAGTATTGTGTCAGGATATTGGCAGTCTGTATGACGGCACAAATGATGTTAATAACGCAGCTCATGCCTCTCGGATGTCTTCTGGATTACGTGCGAAAAAACAAAGATCACATTGGATCGAAAGTTTTGTTGAATTGGTGTACACAAATAGCTAAGGTGAGTAGAATCGCAGTTTTATCCACAAAAACACTCTTTTAGTTCCTGAAAACCCCCAACAATCCTTAAGATGCAACACTGACAAGGGGGAGTTAACAAGCTAGCACCTTACCCACTGAGCCACAGATAGGATTTTGTAAACATGCATTATGCAAGAGCTAAATCTGCCTATTGTAGGTCTTTGTTTAGGTCTGAAATGTTTTCTAAAGTATTAATTAGACATTAATTAACTGATCCAGGCTCTAATCAACTCTAGGTGGTATCAGATTTCTCCAATATTAAATAGATTAGAATGGTTCAGCGATACTTTGATTTTATGAAATATGGAGGACCGAGACTTAGCTTCGATCAACCAGTACGGTAGTTGAAATTATTGCACACGTCTGTCAAACCTTCAAAGGCTAATATCTTCGCTTGCAATAGAGTAATTTGAATGAAATTTTCGAATTATTCATTTTACATCATCTACTTTCGAACTATTATAGCAAGAATGGCTAGTTCTTTATCTAAATCTTACATAATGTATCTTTAAGTCGGAAAATTTGGTTATTTTTTTTAGGGTATGGTTTATTTAGAAGAGAGAGGTATTGTTCACAGAGATTTGGCAGCTAGAAATGTTCTGTGTAAGTTTTAATATAGATTATTTTATTTTGTATATTTTGTTTATGGAGCAACCGTTAGCATACTCTTGCTTCAAAGCATGTACTACTGTTCGAGATGCCAAGACATCTTCCCTTGCTGGATCTTCCAAAGTGCACACAAACTGGAACCAGACTGAATAAACCTGAAACAGTTTGGACAAAGAAATTAAATCTGTTAAACTACTGGAACATAAAAAGATATAGAGAGAAAAGACATTAATAGATAGTGTTGAATATTTTATGAATACTTTGATTTTATTTATTTCAGTACATACACCAACCCAGGTAAAGATTACAGATTTTGGATTAGCGAAATTATTGGATTATGATGAAGTCTTATCAGGCTGCAGGTGAGTAGACAGATTACTTATATCTTGATTAAATACGTTTCATACCTGTAAATTTTATATGAAGAAATGTCAGTGGATACCTTTTAGTATTAAAGGGCCTTGTTTATTATGAAATGAAAGAGGATTTAATGAAGACGGACATTCGCCATACAGTGTGCTATGAAGGACATTTTGCCAAGGAAGTGGCACTGTTGCCTACTCTTATATCAAATCCAATATAAGAGTAGGCCATAGTGCTGCTGCCCATGAAAATTTCCCTCATAGCACACTGTATGGCGTATGCCAGTCTTCATTAGCTCAGTCGGAGCAGAACAGTAGGACGTTAAACCCCTTTAATTTTATTTCTATTTGATTATTTCAGATGCCTATAAAATGGCTGGCGTTAGAATGTATACAACACAGAATATTTACACATAAAAGTGACGTCTGGAGTTACGGTGTTACCGTCTGGGAATTAATGACATATGGACAGAAACCATACGACAGTATTCGTGCCCGGGATGTTCCCGATCTGTTAGAGAAAGGGGAACGACTCCCACAACCACATTGTTGTACTATTGACGTCTATATGATCATGATAAAATGTAAGTACCGGGGTATTGAACTCTTCTGGGAGGGGATGGTCTAATGGGTTGACGTGTGCACATTACAAGGTCTGTCATTGAGTCAAGTGTTATGGTGTTGATTCCAGGGTTGTACGTGACAAGGGATAGAGTCACCTGTCCAACCTCAGGGGTTTTCTCCAGGTCTTCCAGTTTCCTCCCACTGCTAAAGACCCCTACGTGCAAGCAAATTATTGAAGTAAAATTGAGCCATATGTTAGTCCTGAAATGACCTAGTTTGTCAGTTCACCTTGTCATTGTTGCTTAAGCAAGAAAACTTTTGTAGAAAAAAAGGAGCTATGTACTATATCCAGTTATTCACTTGCCCTGGAAAAAATACATACAAAATTAAATGTCATATATAATATCTTGCTATAGGTTGGATGTTGGATGCAGAAAGTCGGCCATCTTTCTTGGAGTTGCAGGAAGAATTTTCAAAGATGGCACGAGATCCTGGTCGATATCTCGTCATTCAGGTAAGATGCCATTTATATTTAATGTTTTTTTATAAACTTATTCATCTATATTTCCTCTGAGTTAGTCTCTACATATCTTTTATTATTTTATTTATTTGTTTTAAATTTATATGTAATTTGTAAATAAGATCGATTTCTGTGTCTATAAACATTATTTTAATGAAAAAAATAAAATAGAATAAAATTTGCTGTGAAATTTCTCATGGACAGTTTTATTACCGTACCGTATAAATTCTTTTTTTGAGATATTTTTTATTGTTGATTATATTTGAGTTTTTATTATCTATCATTTATCATTTAAATGTCCAAAAAAAAATACAAAATGTTAATTTTTTTTTAATTATGCTTAAAATTTTGAGTTATTGTGATTTATGATTTTTTATTTAAATGTTAAAAAAAAAAATGTTAATTTTTGAATTATGCTTAAAATTTCCTGACTGGTCATTGTTTTAGTTATTTTATGATTTATCAGTTAAATATAAAAAAGAATTTAGAAACGTTAAAGTTTGAATTATGCTTAATATGTCCTGAATTCAATCGTACACATTTTAAATATAGGATTATATAAATTAACTTTAAAGGGTGACGTTCTAAAACGCCTATCAGGAGTGTCCAATGGGGCGGAAGCGGAAAATAATGCGCAAAATTCTGCTGATACTTCTCTTCAGGTAGACTTGATCATCTGGTTTGTTGGCATGTTGTATCGTGAATGTTGTAGTTACCTCCCATTTCATCATATCCCATCATGCACTTCATCATTTTCATTATTTTTTAGTAGAGTAGTTTTGTCTGTCATTTGATTGGGGACTAATTTTCTTGAAAATAGTAATAATGGCGGTTATTTAATTTTTTAGAATCTTGTTATTTCATTGGTTGAGGTCGAGAGATAAAATATGTATTAGCATATCAATTCGCAACCAATCAAAATGCTATATCCTTAAAATTTACTTATTTTAATTTTAAATTGCTATTTTACACCAGTAGAGCGAATGAAAGAGAGGATATGGGGTTTAACATCCAATTAACACAAAATAGATCATTTTGGGACTAACACATAGTACAATTTTAATTGAATAATTCACTTGTACGTGGGGGGTCTGGAGAAACCCCAGTAGATTAGGCAAATAACCCCGTACTCTATTTCTGATTGAAACCACACCGCATGACTTAGTGTATCAGATATGTTTCATTATAACGTTTTTGATGAAATGATATTTAACTAAATAACTTCCCAACATGGAGAAGAGGTGTAAATAGGCCTATAACGTGTTTGATAAAATAGGCCTAATAACTTTCAAACATTTATCAGACATGTGTAAATAGGGCTATAACGTTTTTGATAAATGAATTGATATAAGTTTCAGCTTATTTTCAAATCCATTGTATCGGTATTTTATATACTAATGTCATACTCGAAATGAACTATTTCTTTAAACCAAAATGAAAGTAGAATAATACACACAGTAGGCTTATATTTGAAAGGATATTCTGAACACAGGGATATCCATTCATCTATAGACACAGAGACTGATGTGGCTGGTGGATTGTTTCTAGCAATGGAATGGTTGTAATTTGTATTTCAATAAATCCTGCATGAACTGTAGAAATTTACAAGTTATCTAATATAAACAATTTAACATCAAAATTAAAAGATACACTTATACCAAATTGCTAATTTCATCTGCACTAAATAAATATCTGAATAACATGATGAATTATTCTGTTGTTAATACAAGTTGTATAAACTAGTTCACATTTAATTGTCTTTATTTCAATTTCTTGTACGTAAAATTGTTAAAGAGCATGTGCATCGTGACTAGATGTAGCTTGTTACAGAAAGACAGACAGTTATAGCTACAGGTGTTCAAATGAAATGGGGGTTAACAATGGTTGCTGTTTCACCTGTATATGTCAGACATGTCGTACGCATTCAGACATCTGGATATGGTGAATCATATTCATAATTCAAAATAATATTTACTCTACTGAGTGTATAACTATTGCGCATCTCGACTGTCGTTGATAATAAATGAGATTGATTAAGTAATCATTTGCCAAGGCGGCGGTGCTAAGGTCTATTTGTACTTTGATAGATAAATTATTGTCAGCCCAGTCAACTAATGCTATCGCCCTTCACATAAGAGTACCAAAAAAAACCCTAATGACCTTTTGAGAATGATATATTGGTACCCAGACTCACCGTCAGTCAAATGAAGTGTTTTGTTTATGACTTTGATGAAAATTATCAAAAGATAAAAATTATAAATTGATACTAAAAATAATTGTTAGGGTGTCTGATTCGTGAGGCCCTTGTTCTTATTCTTCGTAAAAGTGCGCAATTGAGACATTTTCATATGCAATCAGGACATGCGTGGAATGAGAGAATACAATTCCAGAATGTTCAGTTGAGTATCCCCCATAATACTGAAATGAAATGGAGTTTAACGTCCTACTGTTCTCCCATCTTCATTAGCCCAGTAGGAGCAGAACATAAGGACGCTAATGAAGATGGACATATGCCATACAGTGTGCTGTGAGGGAAATTTTGCCCGGGCAGCGGCACTATGGCCTACTCTTATATATGGAATTTCAACTGCCGAGGGATCTTTTACGTGCATGCCAAGACCTCGGTTTTTCAACCCATCCGAACGACTAGACAGCTGTCCTTGTCAGGTCCTCCATCCTGCACCATCCTGACAAGGGAAAAACCACGCCGGAAAGTCCTGATGAACTTTCTCGGCTAATGCAGGGATCGGACACGCGGCCTCGAGGCTAGCGAGCCAGTGTCTTACTCACTGAGCCACCGTGGCTCTCCCCATACTACTATCATTAACATATTGGTTCTCTTCATGATTCAGTTGCTTCTTTTATTTTGCTTCGGCACTAAGAAGGTTTTTTTTGTTTGGGATTAGGAGGGTTTTTTGTTTCCTAATTAATTAAGCTATTTTTTCTGTTTTTGTCCTATTTGTTGATTTTATTTGTTCCTGCTTTCTGTTTGGACAATCCTATCGTAACACATCACACGACAGTGGGAATCTAGCATAATCAATGAGGCCCATCAAAAGATTTTAGCAAAGATTTACAAATCCAAGAGTGTATCAGATTTCTATATGTATGTACTATGTGTATATATATATATATATATATATATCTGTTTATCAGATTTCTATATGTATGTACTATGTGTGTATATATATATATATATATATATATCTGTTTATCAGATTTCTATATGTACGTACTATGTGTGTATATATCTGTTATGTTGAAAGATGTTGGTTTAGCTGTGAAATATTAGATATTGTCCAAAGAATGCAAGATTAGAAAAAATTTGACAAAGAGTTTAAACTACTCTGATTGACATGATGTGTAGATTTACAAATCCAACGTTTGTCAGATTTCTATATATATATGTATCTGTGATGTTTTATTAAAGGGAGACAAACTGATCATACGACAAACATGATCTGATGAGGAGCATGAGCGTGGCCATCGACGGACCGGAAGAGGTCGTTGAAGCAGATGATTATTTACAACCGCATTTGAACTCGGACGAGTCTCACGATAATAATAACGCACAAGTCAAGGTAGATAACTCTAGCAGAACGCTGAACAAAAACAAAAAACAACAAGAATCAAGATCTTTGCGATTCAATAATGAATAAGTTTGTGTTATAATGTATCAACGTCTTCCATTTTGAATTTTTTGTAAATTACCTTAAATGAAGACAGCATGGACATGTTCAGGGGAATTTGAACAGAGGAGGGTGGGGCCGGGTGTCCTGAGGTACCCAAGAATTTGATAAAATCAGAAGCACTGAGACTAGATTTCTACTCATTTATGTGTAGCATTCGAGTGGTGTGATGCCAAAATAGCGACACTGCTTTGCACGGTAGTTTGTTCCGTGATTTATCGCAGGAAAAAATATGCTCTGTGTGATCAAGGGTGGGTCCGGACACCTCTGAAAGAAAATAATATTTAATACCTGTTTCTCAAATCGGTAAATTGACAGGTAATTCAATTAGCTCGTTAGTGAGGTAATTAACGTTTGAATGACTACACCTGAATGTTCACTCATCTGAATGTTGGTGTTTAGTCGGCACAGAAATTGATGTCGTAACCTCTTTGTACTTGTTGTTTTTTGTTGTTACTAGACCTGATTGTTGTGAAAATGATGAGAGTTTTTTTCAGATTAAGATATGAATTATAATATTGTTAAATATCCATTATAAGTTGCATGAAATAGGGTTTATTGTTCTAGTTTTCTGCACTGACTGATCTATGAGTGATATGGGGAACAATTTACACTGACAGTGGTACTATGGTCTACTCTTATTTCTAATTCCTACTGTTAAGGGTTCTTTTACATGCACTCAATGTGTTCATGGGACCTAAGTTTTACATCCCATCTGAAAAACTAGACACTGCTCCTTGTAAATCCTTCCCTCCTGCACCACTGACAAGGAGGAAACCACCTGAAAAACCAGAGGAACCACTGGAGATACCGAGGATGTCCTCTATGTTGCATGAAGAGATTCCTGATAATGGGAAGATACTATCGTCCACCCGTCTTTACTGTTCTCCCAATCAATTAATTCATCAATTTATGGTTCCAGATTTTTAAGGGAAATGACATAAAAATACAACTATCTCACCTGACAACTGTCTTCCTTTATTAAAATACCAACGTTTGGCTTGACGTCACGAAAACTCCTACCTTCCTTATACAGAATTCAGTACCTGTTACCATGAAACAGTTAATACAAGAGATGTTCATAAATTTACTGTGTAGTCATTGTCTCTAACCCCCAAAACTTAAAAGCTACCATTGAAAACATTGTTCGTCAGCATGTATTTGTTGACTGGCAACTCTGTATTTTCAAGTCACCTTTAACATAATATGATATTTGATAGGTACCTTTATTACCTGGCATGGAAGGGGCATCACAAATTGATGGAAAGTTTCCAGAAGCCAGCAAGCCTCGACGAGAAAAACGGTATGCTCATCTTGATAACGCTGTTCAAGCACGTCAACAGCGACAGACATCCCCAACCAGAGGGCGTGGTGATAGCATCAATTCACGGTATAGCTCAGATCCTGTCAAATTCTTAAAAGATAAAGGTAAATTGACATATTGTTATATTTTTGGGGTGTTTTCCTTAAGGGTTTAGAGAAATGTTGACTGTATATATCCTGTATATACATTATATACTAACATGTAACTGTGATGGAGGTATGTGGCATATTGGACCATTTCATGTGGCATATTGGACCATTCCATGTGGCATAGCGTACCATTTTTATACGGCCACATTTTCATGTGGACGTATTATGCCGTCGCCCCTGTCCGTCTGTCCGTCCACAATTGTTTGTGGACTCTCTACAGGTCACAATTCTTATCCGATTTCAACGAAACTTGAAATATAGGTGTATCCCCAAAAGATCTCAGCTGCTTTCGATATTGGCATGTATCGGATCGAAACTTCATGGATTATGGCCCCTGTTTGTACGAAAAATCACGTTTTTAGCTTGTGGACCCTATAGAGGTCACAATTTTGATCCGATTTTGTTGAAACTTGAAATTGAAGTTTATAACCCAAAGATCTCTGTTCCTTTCGATATTCGCGCATATCGGACAGTAACTTCCTGAATTATGGCCCCTGATTGTACGAAAAATCACGTTTTTAGCTTGTGGACCCTATAGAAGTCATAATTTTTATCCGATTTAAAAAACCGTTCTATTATATCACCGTTACACCCTAAGGATGACTGAGTTCGAATTTCGTGAAAATCGGCCCAAAATTGACAGACAAAATGGCCGCCGTTCGTTCCCAAATGGCGTAAGAATATGGTATATCAAGGTTGTGGACCCTATAGGGGTCACAATTTTTATCCGATTTTGTTGAAACTTGAAATGTAAGTTTATAACCCAAAGATCTCGGTTCCTTTCGATATTCGTGCATATTGGACCGTAATTTCCTGAATTATGGCCCCTGATTGTACGAAAAATCACGTTTTTAGCTTGTGGACCCTATAGAAGTCATAATTTTTATCCGATTTAAAAAAACATTCTATTATATCACCGTTACACCCTAAGGATGACTGAGTTCGAATTTCGTGAAAATCGGCCCAAAATTGACAGACAAAATGGCCGCCGTTCGTTCGCAAATGGCGTAATTTGAATATGGTATATCAAGGTTGTGGACCCTATAGGGTCACAATTTTTATCCGATTTTGTTGAAACTTGAAATGTAAGTTTATAACCCAAAGATCTCGGTTCCTTTCGATATTCGTGCATATCGGACAGTAACTTCCTGAATTATGGCCCCTGATTGTACGAAAAATCACGTTTTTAGCTTGTGGACCCTATAGAAGTCATAATTTTTATCCGATTTAAAAAAACGTTCTATTATGTCGCCGTTACACCCTAAGGATGACTGAGTCCGAATTTCGTGAAAATCGGCCTAAAATTGACAGACAAAATGGCCGCCGTTCGTTCCCAAATAGCGTAAGAATATGGTATATCAAGGTTGTGGACCCTATAGGGGTCACAATTTTTATCCGATTTTGTTGAAACTTGAAATGTAAGTTTATAACCCAAAGATCTCGGTTCCTTTCGATATTCGTGCATATTGGACCGTAACTTCCTGAATTATGGCCCCTGATTGTACGAAAAATCACGTTTTTAGCTTGTGGACCCTATAGAAGTCATAATTTTTACCCGATTTCAAAAAACGTATTATTATATCACCGTTACACCCTAAGGATGACAGAGTTCGAATTTCGTGAAAATCGGCCCAAAATTGACAGACGAAATGGCCGCCGTTCGTTCACAAATAGCGTAAGAATATGGTATATCAAGGTTGTGGACCCTATAGGGGTCACAATTTTTATCCGATTTTGTTGAAACTTGAAATGTAAGTTTATAACCCAAAGATCTCGGTTCCTTTCGATATTCGTGCATATTGGACCGTAATTTCCTGAATTATGGCCCCTGATTGTACGAAAAATCACGTTTTTAGCTTGTGGACCCTATAGAAGTCATAATTTTTATCCGATTTAAAAAAACATTCTATTATATCACCGTTACACCCTAAGGATGACTGAGTTCGAATTTCGTGAAAATCGGCCCAAAATTGACAGACAAAATGGCCGCCGTTCGTTCGCAAATGGCGTAATTTGAATATGGTATATCAAGGTTGTGGACCCTATAGGGTCACAATTTTTATCCGATTTTGTTGAAACTTGAAATGTAAGTTTATAACCCAAAGATCTCGGTTCCTTTCGATATTCGTGCATATCGGACAGTAACTTCCTGAATTAAGTCCCCTGATTGTACGAAAAATCACGTTTTTAGCTTGTGGACCCTATAGAAGTCATAATTTTTATCCGATTTAAAAAAACGTTCTATTATGTCGCCGTTACACCCTAAGGATGACTGAGTTCGAATTTCGTGAAAATCGGCCCAAAATTGACAGACAAAATGGCCGCCGTTCGTTCCCAAATAGCGTAAGAATATGGTATATCAAGGTTGTGGACCCTATAGGGGTCACAATTTTTATCCGATTTTGTTGAAACTTGAAATGTAAGTTTATAACCCAAAGATCTCGGTTCCTTTCGATATTCGTGCATATTGGACCGTAACTTCCTGAATTATGGCCCTTGATTGTACGAAAAATCACGTTTTTAGCTTGTGGACCCTATAGAAGTCATAATTTTTACCCGATTTAAAAAAACGTATTAATATATCACCGTTACACCCTAAGGATGACAGAGTTCGAATTTCGTGAAAATCGGCCCAAAATTGACAGACGAAATGGCCGCCGTTCGTTCACAAATAGCGTAAGAATATGGTATATCAAGGTTGTGGACCCTATAGGGGTCACAATTTTTATCCGATTTTGTTGAAACTTGAAATGTAAGTTTATAACCCAAAGATCTCGTGGACCCTATAGAAGTCATAATTTTTACCTGATTTAAAAAAACGTATTATTATATCACCGTTACACCCTAGGGATGACTGAATTCGAATTTCGTGAAAATCGGCCCAAAATTGACAGACAAAATGGCCGCCGTTCGTTCTCAAATAGCGTAAGAAAATGGTATATCAAGGTTGTGGACCCTATAGAGGTCACAATTTTTATCCGATTTTGTTGAAACTTGTAATGTAAGTTTATAACCCAAAGATCTCGGTTCCTTTCGATATTCGCGCATATCGAACCGTAATTTCCTGAATTATGGCCCCTGATTGTAGGAAAAATCGCGTTTTTAGCTTGTGGATCCTATAGAGGTCAGAATTTTTATCCGATTAAAAAAACGTATTATTATATCACCGTTACACCTTGAGGACGACTGAGTTCGAATTTCATGAGAATCGGCACAAAATTGACAGACAAATTGGCTGCCGTTCATTCAGTTCCTTTCGATATTTGCGCATATCGAATTGTAATATCCTGAATTATGGCCCTTGATTGTAGGAAAAATCACTTTCTTGTTAGCTTGTTCTCTATCCATCTCTCGAAAATGTGGGCGTATCCTGCCTGGCAGCCGCTGGTTTTCTATGGTGCATATTT